TTAAAAGAAAAATTTCTGAATAACAGAAAATTTTTCTAAAAGTGGTGACAAGAGGAGTTGATCTAATCAGGGTAAGTTTTTCTTATTATTTAGAAAAATATTTCTGAAAAATAGAAATATTTTCTGAATTTCAAGGCAATTTTCAAAGTATGGCGATTTTCTAAAATTTAGGGCGATTTTTTTTCTGATAGTTTCATAAATACATTAATGAAGTGATACGTGCATACAATTATTCATGCCGCGTGTTTTAAAAATATATGCACAAAATTAAAACATTTAAATTTAAATGAAATGAAAAGATATTGTTTGATTAAGACGACTAAAAACTGAAAACTAGTCTTATTTTAAGTTTAAATGATTACATTGAACAAAACAAAAAAATTATAAAAATAAAAAAAAAAAACAATATATTTACCTTTTACCTTTAGCTAGGTACTGGGAAATTGAAGTACCTTTACCTTACCTAGGTATTTATTTTTGCCCAATACATTTTACCTTACCTAGGTAAAAAAACACAGTACCTGTTGGGAAAGTATAAGTGGTACAATTAATTATAGTTGTCGCAAAAAACTCGGAATGGGTCAAAACGGGAGTAGTTTGACCTGGCAATTTCCAGTGCTAATGGCCGAAATCGACGAGTTGGTCTAGAAGGAACGTTCCTGTTTATGGACGTTATCAGGTGAAGTGAGTCCACACCGCCAGTAAGGAGCTTGTGAAGGAAGATCACGCCAGTACATATTCGACGATGCTTTAAAAAGTCGCAGCCTGCCTGTTCAAACCACGTAACGCAAATAGGAGAAACTGCTTCTGAACGGACTCAATCATGTCTTGATAGTGCTCATACTGTAGAGACCATACGCATGAGCAGCATTCCAGCGTTAGACGAACTAAGGAAACAAACAGGAGCTTTGTGATATACGGATCATCCAATTCCTTGGACCAGCGTTTGATGAAAGCTAATAAGGCCTTAGCTTTATTGGAGACTAGCTGTACCCGGCGCGACTTCGTTCGCTTAAAATTAGTTTTGAGTACGGTTGTCAAGACTTTCCCATTTCCACACCACCCCTGAGGTCCAATTAGACCTATTCCACTGAAACTTTCTGGTTTAATAATGTTAATTAAAAGATTACTTTAAAACCTCTGTGTAAATAATATTTTAAGAAGATCCTTTAGGAGCGAGAATAATAAGGCTACTGGCAGAGCTAACTCTAGAGCATGAGGCATAAAATTGTCCATGAGAGCAGCAATCTTCTCTCAGATCTAGTCCAGCCAGCTTCAAAGTCTGCCCCTTCAAAGTCTGCCCTGCGATTTATTTATTTATTGCAAAGCAAACTTTTAGAGGGAATTGTAGCCTTTTAAACTGAAACGGCAGACTGGATGGTATTAATGGGATCCTGGGTAAAAACACTGTTTCCCCCATCGCGCATCCCGTAAATACTGTTGCTTCAATTACATTCTTATGAAGCCCTTTTATCTGCAATCGTGTCCCATTGCATAACTTTGGGGGACTTTAATTTTGCAATAACATTACGGATGCTCCAATCCTAAGAGACAGATTATGCTGAGGAATTCCTGGAGGATTCAAAGAATTTAAAAATTCAAAAGGGTAATGAACAGCATTATCAGCATCAGGAACAGAGTCGACCATCAAATGAGTTTAGCAATAAATTATTAATAGTAGTTGCTCTTTCATTTTTCGTTGTCAGATAGCCAATCTAAGCTTTTACTTGATATGTTAGAAATATCAGGAAATATTTTGGATGTAAGGTCTTGAACGTTTTTGACTACATTTCCTAAGCGTGATGTTATAACTATTTTTCCATCAACTGTTGGATGGACGCCATTCCCAATTTTTAAAAGAGTTAAGTGCACTCGCATATTTTTTGTGAGCGCTAGTTTTTTTATCTGTGGCCATAAAAATGATGATTTTAAACAGGCCTTTATTTCGTCAGCTCTTGCACCTCTTGGCACAACAGGAAGGGTTTGGCGTAAGTCTCCAGCTAGCAGGACTGTAATATCACCCATCAACATAGTATTCTCATTAATATCTTGCAGGGTTCTATTTATGGCTTCACGCCCACCTTTATGTGACATGGTGCACTCATCCCAAACAATTAACTTACAATCTTTAAACACCGCAGCCATATTACATTGCTTTGAAATAGAGCAATTAGTTGTTTCTAAATTTACTAAATCCAAAGGAAGTTTAATATGTATAATAATAAAAATAGCACTCTTCTAATTGCCTGCTTCTCACTCCCAAAAATCGAATTGTGGCAAAGGAGAGCAAGTGTATTTTTTGCATACGCCTCTTCTAATACTTGCGATATTAATTTATTAAATCGTCGATGAAAATATATATCATATTTTTAGATTCCTTAAAAACATATATTAAATTCAGATTGTTTAAACAAATATAATAAATGAATGTGGTTCAAGTAAAAGTGGTGAAAGTAGCTAGAATAAGCGGGAGCGGCGATTTTTTTATTAGTTTTGTATAAAATCGTAAATTAGTTTACAGACGCAAACATATACAATTCCCATAATCAGTGTGTTTGATATCCGAAATATCAAAATATTGTGACCCCTCGTTATCTTCTAACAACAACCCGGAGAAACTGCACGTGCACCCACTAACTCGAGTATCACCCCCTACCCACAAGTCCTTGTGTGTGTTTTTTTTTAAATCAGTCTGTTTATTATGGGGAATGGGTTTATAGAGATCTGGGAGTGGTGTGTACAGAGTTTTTTACATGGAAAGTATAGTAAGACAGAGAATATAGAAGAAGAATTTGGTTCCTGATATCCCTGCGGGACTACCGCGTGGCTTTGCTTCGCAGGGTCAGGATTTACTCTGGGGCTCAGGGGCTCATCTCAAGGTCCCTCGTCGAACTTCGTCTCGAGCTCTCTCTATTTTCCGTAGGGTCTTCATGACTACGGCGGCATAGTTGCTCATCTGGGCCCAGAACTCTTCATCCGAGATCATGCGGTCTCCCAGGGCAACAGGGTCCCTGGTCTCGCCTAGGAATTCTTCCCTTTCACGCTCAAACCGTGGGCAGGTGAAGATCACGTGCTCGGCGGTCTCCTCCACTCCACATTGGGGGCAGTTGTGGTCGTCGTCGTGACCGTTTATTTTACTTCTCCTTTTCCTCTTTGCATCCACCTCTTAATGTCGGGAATGACCTGGAAGGTCCAGCGTCCTTTCGTGGATTGCTGCCAGCGGGCCTGCCATGCTCCTAAGCTCCTTTCCCTCGCCCTAGTTTTGATGTCGCGTCTCTGTGGGGGAGTGCATCGCCCTCCAAGCGCTTTGACTTTTTCGTGAATCTCCCTAGCCTCGATTGCCAGAAGGTCTATAGGGACCATTCCGGAGATCACAAGGGCTGCGTCATCCGATACCGTGCGGAATCCGGAGCAGACTCTTAGAGCGCATAGCCTGTAGGTTGATACCAGGCCCTTTATATACGACTCTGTGCCAACAGCTTCGGCCCATATAGGGGCGGCATAAAGCATTGTTGCCCGAGTTACCGACTGCAGAAGGAGTCGACGCCCTTGTTTTGGTCCTCTTGTGTTAAGCATTATACGCGATAGAGCTCTAGCGACATTTGCGGCCTTTTTGTTCGCTTCGAACAGGTGCTCCCTGAATGACAGTCTCGTGTCTATCAAGACTCCCAAGTAGCGTATTGCTCTTGCTGAGCGTATATAGGAGCCTCCAACTTGGATGCTCGCAGTCTCGACCGCCTTGCAGCTGGATATGAGGACCGCCTCGGTTTTGTGGTGCGCTATGCTGAGACCTACCGACGAGAGCCACTCTTCGATAATTGCCACTGCTTCGTTTCCGAGTTGCTCTGCTTCCGGAATGGTTTTGGCCACGATTGCGACTGCTATGTCGTCCGCATAACCTATCACGCTTGTTCTTCCTGATAGTGCCAACCTTAGAACTCCGTCGTTCATTGCATTCCAGAGCAGCGGTCCAAGAACAAATCCTTGGGGTACTCCACAAGTAATCTTGTGCTCCATCGTCCCTCTGTCCGTGTCGTAGAGTAGGGAGCGGTCGCTGAAGTAAGACTGAACGATGCCTACTAGGGTTTCCGGTACTCCTAGTTGTCGGATTGCTTCCAGTGTAGCATCCCAGCGCGCTGAGTTGAAGGCATTTCTAATATCCAGGGTCACGACTAGGCAGTACTCCTTACTGCCTCCCCGCCATCTTGTACCTTCTATTGCCTTCGAAGCGATGTCCTTTACTGTCGAGATTGCATCCACCGTTGATCTTGCCTTCCTGAAGCCGAACTGCATGGGTGACAGGTCCCCGGCTGCTGAGATGGCTTCCTGCAGTCTGTTGCTGATGCACCGTTCTAGTGCCTTGCCTACATGGTCGATCAGGCATATTGGCCTGTACGACGACGGGTTCTCTGGCGGTTTGTTCGGCTTGGGTAGCAGGACCAGCTTCTGGATCTTCCACCGCTTTGGGAAGGTATTTTCCCCGAGGCAATGGTTGAAGACGTCAGCGAATGCTTCAGGGTGCTCGAGCATCGCCAGCTTTACTGCCCTGTCCGGGATGCCGTCCGGACCTGGAGCCTTTCCTACGGGCAGGTCCCTGGCTACCTTCAGTATTTCATCCGGTTGGACAATACTCAGAGATGTAGCTGCTGCTGCTACCTGTTCGCGCTGTGGAACTGGGCGCACTGTTGGAAACAGGTGCTCTACTATCTCCTTCGTTTTGTTGGCTTCGCCTGCGGCAAGGGGTTTTGCCTGGCTCATCTTTTTGACCACCACTTTGTATGCTGAACCCCAGGGGTCCTGGTCGGCTGCATCGCACAGTTCCAGGAAGCATTTTCGCTTTGTCAGCTTGATGAGTCTCTTTAATACTCTGCGGGTTTCGGCGTATTCCTGCCTCCTGAGCTCAAGGTTTATGCGACCTCTCGCCCTCTGATGTAGCCTTCTGGCGCGCAGGCACTCGCTACGGGCTGCTGCAATCTCTTCTGTCCACCAGTAGACCGGTTCTAGGTCATGCTGGCTCTGCATGCCGTTGCCATGGCTTCCATTAGCTTCTCAGAGCTCCTCTCCGCGTGCTCGCCCAAATCCGGGTCTCTCCATGTCCTGCGGAACGCGTCCTCCTGGAGCGTCTTTGGATTGAAGCGGCTGTGTGTTGGGGCTGATGCTGGCGGTCTATTTCGCGTTATTTCGCAGATTATGGCCTTGTGGTCGCTCGCGGAGTAGATCTCTCCAAGGCGCCATCGTGCTTGTTGAAACAGCGAGCTGCTGCAGAAGGTGAGGTCCACGACTGAGCCGGCTCCGCCTCTTCTGAAAGTGTGTTCCGATCCTGTGTTTAGTAGGGCTACATCGAGTGACGCGATGGTTTCGAGCAGGGTTTTCCCTCTCGCGTTCGTGTAGGCCGATCCCCACTCCTCTGCCCATGCGTTAAAGTCCCCAGCGATGACCACGTTCCTCTTTCCCCGTGCATCATCCACCAATTCGTCCAGAACTGATGTGAAGTCCGGGAGGGTGAGGCGCGGTGGCAGGTAGCAACTATACATGAGGAACTCGTTCACCATGGCCCGGATGAAGTAGGATCCGACGCGCACTTGTTGGGGTCGGGATGAGCCGATCGTCCAGATAGCTGCACACTTCTTCGCATCCAAAATGTAGTTCGGCCCGGCGGTCTTTTTGTATGGCTCACTGATCAGCGCTACGTCCGCATGGATTTCGCGCACGGTCTGGCTTAGCAGATCATGCGCGGCTTCGCAGTGGTTGATGTTAATCTGGATGATCTTCACCTCTCCGACGATTTTTTGCTCATGGGGCATCTCCTGCTGCCCGCGATGTGCTTCACGTCTGCCTTCCTAGCTCGGTCGCAAAGAAAGCATTTTGCTTCCTGCGAGCAGTCAGCGACCTTATGCCCGGGTTGCCCGCACTTCAGGCAGCAGTCGCTGCGGTCTACTCCGCTCTTGCACCGGAGCGCTATATGCCCAAACTCAAGGCACTTGTAGCACCTCCGTTCGGATGCCCTTTCTCGGACCCGGCAGCTCGACCAGCCCACCTTTACCCTCCCTTCTGCGAGGAGTTTTGCTGCTATTTGCGGCGCAAGTGCGAGCACCGCCATTTTTGTGCCCGCGTAAGCCGGGCGAAGCGCTTTGACGCTTGAAACGTCCACCTGGTGGCCCGTTAGGGCGTGCACGGCTGCTGCTACCTCCTCCTTGGTGGTCAGGTCGTCTAAGTCGCGTACTTCAACGTGGGCCTCTTCCACAACTGTCCGGACGCAAGCCAGGTCTCCAAGGACGTTGCCTAAGCTTTCCTTGATGGACTGGGTGTCCTCCCTTGATGCGCCATCCAGTTCCAGGAGGAGATCTCCCTTTGCTGTGCGCTTGATCCGGCGAACGTTCTTACGCACGTCTTCCAGCTTGTTGTCCTCTCTCCTCGTTACCAGGTTGAGGATTTCGCTGTAAGAGTGCCCTTCAGTTCCCTTAATGATAAGGGCGTCAGGGCGGACCCTCTTGCTCGGCTTGCTCTTCTTCGGAGCCGTCTGCTCGGACGTCCTTGTCCGGACTCTGCTCCACTCCGTGAGGGACCTTCCTGGCTCTGGCCCACGGGTGTTTGCCTCTCTGGCAACTTGGCTGTATGAAGCTAGGCCTGGCGTTGTCTGCGTAGCCGTGCGGGTTTTCAGCACCGCCGATTCCTCAACTTGCGCGCTGAGCTCTATCTGGATCTCCTTGATGCTCATCAGAGTATCTTTCATACTCTGGTTTATATGGCGCGTATATAACGAGGCCGCCTAGCGGTGGGGTTGGATGACAGTGCGATCCTTTGTCTTTACCTCTATTGTCCTACCGTCGAAGAATTCAAACCGAAATTCGCCTTGGCGGGCTTTGTTGTAAAGCAGTGTCGCGCTGACAAAAGCTCTTGGCTGCGACACCTAGCAGAGCGACTACGGGTGTCTCCGATGTGGCAGCACTGGCCAAAAATGGCAGCACTGGCCAGGCGGCCGCACTGGCCTCTAGTGCGGCGGGGTGGCAACGCTGGCCTTGATCAGCTGGGCTCTGCTCGGGGTTTCGCAACACTAATCAGCTGTGATCGTGGGAGAAAAAACCGTGGAAAGGAGGAAAAACCAAAAACAGATGCAGAAAAAGCGGAAAAACGCGGGATTTGGATTACCCCCCGGCCCTGCCTCCTCTGTCCAGCAGAGAGATGCTCAGGGGCAACTTTCCGGATCTCGGCGGCTGTAGATTGGAGGATCTCACCCTGTGTTGGTTGCGTGAGTACCAAGCTTGGCGAGGTGCAGCAGTTTTCCTTTTTTTTGCAGCTGGGATTCCGATGCCCAAGAAGATTTACGGGAGAGCTACTTGAAAACACGTCCGCGCACTTTGAATATACCTGGCTCTCAGTCCTTGTGTGTGTGTGTATGTGTGGGTGTGCGCTGGTGCGGGGCGGCTTGTGGGAAGGTGTAAAATTAAAATTTTTAAATTTTATTTCAAAATGTACAATTTTAATTTTAGAATCATGAAAATTATACCAATGATATTCAAACTGCGAAAAATAAAATATATTTGGACCACCACTAAAAAAAAAAAAAAAAAGTTTGGTGTCATTGGAAAGCATTTTTCAAGACCTTTTAATTGGTATAATTGTCATGATTCTAAAATTAAAAAATTTTAAATTTAAATTTAAATTTAAAAATTTTAATTTCACACCTTTCGCACAAGCAGCCACGCACAAGCAGGGTTGTTCTTAGAAGATAACGAGGGGTCACAATATTTTGAAATGCAATAAAACGATAAGATTCCTTCGGATATCAAACACACTGGTTATGGGAATTGTATATGTTTGCGTCTGTAAACTAATTTACGATTTTATACAAAACTAATAAAAAAAAATCGCCGCTCCCGCTTATTCTAGCTACTTTCATATGCGCAGTTGAGAAGTTCTTACCCAGTAGCTTATTGACTTGGCACCAGGATTGAAGGTTATTTAAGTCAAGCTGGAGCTGCATGTGGGAACCAGGCGATGTCATATGCATACAAAACTTGACATCATCCGCATACATAAGAACTTTGGAGGCCACGATAATTTGAGGAAGATTATTAATAAATAGACCAAATAGCAAAGGACCAAGATGGCTACCTTGAGGTACTCCGGAGCTTACAGACACAGTTTTTGAAAGTACATTATTAAATTGTACCTTTTGGGAACGGCCTGTAAGGTATGACTGAATCCACATCAGAAGAGTTAGTGTGAAACCAAGAAGGCGCAGCTTGTGGATAAGAAGCTCATGGCATTGCTAAAATCAGTGAAAATGACATCAGTTTGATTGGAGGATATGAAGCGTTTATTAATGTAGGTCGTAAATTCCAGCAGGTTAGTTGTAGTTGAACGACATTTTGTGAAACCATGTTGGATCGGAGATAAGAAGAAGGCCACGAACATTTTGATAGCGCAAAATGAAATCTAGTTTTTTGGAACCGAAGAAACTTTATTAGAGGATAGTTCCTTACGAGCAAACTCATGGACTACGGTGTCAACTGGCTACAATCCAGGACCTAATGCTCGAAGTATGAAAGATCCCGGAAAAATAATTTTAAAAGAAGCAACTTTTCGCTTATAATTAAAACTAGCTGTACCCGGCTCGACTTCGTTCGCTTAAATTTAGTTTTGAGTACGGTTGTCAAGACTTTCCCATTTCCACACCACCCCTGAGGTCCAATTAGACCTATTCCACTGAAACTTTCTGGTTTAATAATGTTAATTAATAGATTACTTTAAAACCTCTGTGTAAACAACATTTTTAGAAGATCCTTCAGGAGCGAGAATAATGAGGCTACTGGCAGAGCTAACTCTAGAGCAAGCGATATAAAATTGTCCATGAGAGAAGCAATCTTCTCTAAGATCTAGTCCAGCCAACTTCAAAGTCTGCCCCTCCGATTTATTTATAGTTATTGCAAAGCAAACTTTTAGAGGGAATTGTAGCCTTTTAAACTGAAACGGCAGACTGGATGGTATTAATGGGATCCTGGGCAGAAACACTGTTTCCCCCTTCGCGCATCCCGTAAATACTGTTGCTTCAATTACATTCTTTTGAAGACCTTTTATCTGCAATCGTGTCCCATATTTTAACTTTGGGGGACTTAAAATTTTGCGATACCATTACGGATGCTCCAATCCTAAGAGACAGATTATGCTGAGGAATTCCTGAAGGATTCAAAGAATTTAAAAATTCAAATGGGATTCAGGAACAGAGTCGACCGATTTATAGGAGGCTTCTAAACCATCAAAGGAGTTTAGCAATAAATTATTAATAGTAGTTGCTCTTTCATTTTTCGTTTTCAGATAGCCAATCTAAGCTTTTACTTGATATGTTAGAAATGTCAGGAAATATTTTGGATGTAAGGTCTTGAACGGTTTTGACTACATTTCCTAAGCGTGATGTTATAACTATTTTTCCATCAACTGTTGGATGGACGCCATTCCCAATTTTTAAAGATTTTAAACAGGCCTTTATTTCTTCAGCTCTTGCACCTCTTGGCACAACAGGAAGGGTTTGGCGAAAGTCTCCAGCTAGCAGGACTGTAATACCACCCATCAACATAGTATTCTCATTAATATCTTGCAGGGTTCTATTTATGGCTTCAAGCCCACCTTTATGTGACATGGTGCACTCATCCCAAACAATTAACTTACAATCTTTAAACACCGCAGTCATATTACATTGCTTTGAAATAAAGCAATTAGGTGTTTCTAAATTTACTAAATCCAAAGGAAGTTTAATATGTATAATAATAAAAATAGCACTCTTCTAATTTCCTGCTTCTCACTCCCAAAAATCGAATTGTGGCAAAGGAGAGCAAGTGTATTTTTTGCATACGCCTCTTCTAATACTTGCGATATTAATTTGTTAAATCGTCGATGAAAACATATATCACCTTTTTAGATTCCTTAAAAACATATATTAAATTCAGATTGATTAAACAAATATAAAAAACTAGCTATACCCGGAGCGACTTCGTTCGCTCAAAATTAATTTGCAGTTCGGAAATTAGGTTGTCAGGACTTTCTTATATCTTATTTGCGCGTTTGTTGAAAACCTTTGCGTAAACAACCTGTCTAGAAGATTCTTCCAGAGAGAGAATCCGAAGGCTACTGGTAGAGCTATATAATAAACTAGCTATACCCGGAGCGACTTCGTTCGCTCAAAAACTTTCTTGATGGAAAAAATTTAAGAAAGAATTTTTCTTAAAAATAGAAAAATGAAAATCTCATATGTTTGTTTTGCCGTCGCAGCCAAAACATTTTCTACATATTTAAGTACAAAATCACCTTTGAATATATGAATGAAATGACCCTAGAATATAGAAAAGTAGCCATTGACTTCCTTCGGCTGCCGAATGTTAACGACAAGAAAAACGAAGTAGGACGAAGGGCCTACTCGGCCCGAATACTACCCGGCTACCGACTTCTCTGATCCCCCGAGCGCCAGTTGTGAAAAAAATTCGTGAGTGATGGACGTGATTTTCAAGCGGATAAGAGGTAAAGCCTTTTTCCGAATATTCAAAGGTATGTAAATATTTAATTTTTTGTATAGCGCGCGTACAATTGTATGTGTGTAATTAAAGGATAAATTCCAAATCTCTTTACCAAGCTTATACCACTTTAGTTGAATTGTTTTTTAGCTAAGAGCTACGTACATACATACATTTGTACATAAATTTGTGGGTGTAGAGTTCTATAATAACTTTATCTTATTACTCGCATTTTATTTATTTTTCAGAGTGAAAATACCTGCAGTTGCATCAGCCAAATATCTTGTTTGGCGAAGCTGTAATTTTGTTTTAAAACCTTCTAAGGTAAGAAAAATATGTTGTAATTGTTTGACATGTATGCATGTAAATATCTATGCATGTACGCGGCTCACCCGATCTGAAACCCGATTTTCAACCCTTTCATATTCTGCTCCTCTCTCTCGCTCGCTTGACCTACGCGTCGCGACGTTTCTCTCTTCTCCTTAAAATTGTCATGATCTGCCCTGCTTACATTCGGTCTCCCATTGCGCAAAGGACTGTATGTAAATATATATGTATGTATGTACGTGTCTCTCCCGTGCCTCTCTCTCTCTGAAATTCGATTTTCAACCCTTCATTTTCTACCTGTCTTGCTCCTCTCTCTCGGTCGTCTGACCAACGTGTTTGTATTTTGGCTATTATTAACATTACATTATTTCAAAAAATTTTTTTTATCTAAAAACAAATCATTGATATCCCAATAACTCTTTTTTTCTAGATGAGGAAAGGCGAAGATAATGGATCACCTTAGGTCATATGAAGTTCAACAGACCTTGGGTAATAACAATGTTTTCTTGAGTCAAAAATGTGTTAATTTAAAAATGTTAAATGTTAAGTGTTAAATGTTTTAAATGTAAATAAATATAATATGCAAAAGAAAAAACCAAGTTACATTTTATTTTTAGGGTTTCAGTGTTAATATTTTTTGAAAGGAAATTTAAACAAGAAAGAATTTTTCTTGTTTAAAAGGTGCCTTTCTAAAAAACCCTTTTCTTGTTTTAAGAAATTTAATTTCTTGAAACAAGAAACAAACCACCTTTGAAACAAGAATCGCCTTTCTTGTTTTAAGAAATATTTTTTCTTGTTTTTATGGTGGCTTTCTAAAAAACCCTTTCTTGTTTTAAGAAATTTAATTTCTTGAAACAAGAAATTTTTTTTCTTGTTTTAATGGTGCCTCCCAAAAAAA